CACCACCGCAGCTGACCCTACCACCACCGCGGCTGACCCTACCAACACCACGGCTGCCGCTACGCTTAGCATGTGTGAGAACCCTGTAGACGACGTGGATTACTACGGCAACGACATCGATTCCACCCGTCGCTCGAACAGCAACGATTGTTGCGACGACTGTGTTAATACCCCTAACTGCGTTGTGTACGTGTGGACCCCTTGGGAGGGCGGCACGTGCTTCTTGAAGCGGATCGTTGGCGCGCCTAGTCATTACAAGGACGCTAAGGCCGCCAAGCTCACTCAGCCTTCAGTTTGACATTTCCTGTCCTCTATCCGTCTAGAATCCCCAAATTATTTCTACAATGGTAGTTAATAACGATACCAGACGTCCCTTTGATGATTTCGGCCGATGTATTCGGGTCTTCAGATTTTATTCGTTTCGGGGTTTCGGGGCCAAATTATCAACGGCTTAATCAGTACCAATAGCATCTACTCACCTGACTTCGACCATTTGTTTATGGTTTCATGTCGATCGACAATATCGTTGTGCTGCTGATGGTTAACTGACTTACACCGAAGAATGAACGCCTTGGTACATATACTGAGTGCAGGCTCATTATTGCGTAGCCACGTACCAAGATACTACGTAGTATACTGTCGTCAACCATTTCGACACTTGAGATGTGTGAACGAATTCCACACCTACTATTATCCGGATGTTGTTTTATACTTCGAAGTACTTGAAGTATAGTAGTTATGCTTGGAATGTATGAATATTAATACTAACTATTAGTGTGGGATGGCGTTAACCGTGAGTGAAAAACCCGTTGAAATCGAGCACGAGCACGAGGGGGTGGGCGTCCGTGTTGGCTAAAACAGCGCACAAGTGGCGCAGTGTCGAGGCCAAGTACGTGGCATCGCGAGTGGCGTGGGGCGGCTCGTGGCGGCAGTAGTCCCAGCCCAGGGCAATCAGTGCGTCAATAGCGTGCATAACAGTGGCCGAGTACAAGTAGCATCTCTTGACCAGTTGGGCCACAAATGTGTCGTGGGCTTTCTTGACCACGTCAAAATCAGAGCTCTTTGCACACGCGGCCACGCATTCATGGAAGTGGACGTCCACCACATCCCTTTCAAAGTACACAAATACATGCGACAGCGCAAAGAGCACACGGTGCCGCAATATCGCACACGATTGAGAGTGGTGTCGAGACAGTTTCCACGTCCGGTTGAGTGCAAACTGCACGCGCTTGAGTCGAAACAGCAGCTGGAACACGTGGTTGTACGTGACCAGAGTTGCCGGTGTCAGCAGCAACGGAGCCACGGGCCACGGAACTGGCATGTCAAGACCGACATACTGCCACGGGTCCTCATCAGCGGCGACTCGGCCACACGACCAAGACACCAACGTGATGGGAGGCAGCAGCACCAGACCCACGAACATGCCGCCTTTGCGCCGCGCCAGACCGTCCACTTGCTTGAGAACGTTCATAGAGTACTCGAAGCACAAACGGTCGTTCATGTGCACTCGCCATCCACTTATGTCTGCCGCGTAGTCGACTACCACAGAGATCGACCCCGCTGTTTTGAGGTGCGTGCACGTGTCGTGCAGGGATGGGGCGTCGTTCCTGCCGTCGTTGTACACGAACAACCGCGTAGTGACGTGGCACGCTCCGTCTTGAACCGAGTGGAATTGAAACTGCAGTCGAAGGCTGGGGCTGGTAGATGGAATGATCACGTTCGAAGAGGAATCCATTGGACATGATGCAGCAGCTACATGCACGCCGTCAGACTGTAGCACCAGCGACACTTCGGAGGGGGGGGCGTTCAAAGGAGGAGGGTCAACCAGGACGACACTGAAACTCGTGCGAAATGACCGAGATATGTACTGGATGTGGTGGAACCAGCAGGTTAATGGAGAATCGGCGGCCGCCAGTCCCGCAACTTGGACGTTCCAACTCCCAAGCAGCACCAACCCACGACACCTGACTCGTGGGTCGTCGTCTAATACATGTGGTTGGTTGAATGCAAACGAAAACTCTTGGAGAGGTACCTACAAAGAAGCCCCAACCAAGTTGTTCAAATTCAGCATTATGATACTATCGATAGCAGGTTTGGTTAATATGAGAATGGTGGGGATCTGTACCCGTAGGGACATGGACGAGGCGTCCAGTTCAAAGGCCGACCATACCCCATGGTTGAGCTCTTGTTCAGATCGAATCGTGGGAGCGTTGGCAAAGACGGGGGACGCTTGGTCGATGACGGCGTGGACGAAGTCGCCGTGTCCAAGTAGGTAGAACGCCTTGACTCGAGCTAGCCACTGAATAAACTGACCTTGCACCACCACACGAGTTCCCAGCGCCGACGCGATGACCACGCGTAGCTTAGCAAGTTCGTCTCGAACGACTTGGGTCGACCACGTCCGGTGGCTGGCGAGCGAGTGGAGGCAGCTGCAAATGGCCTGGTGGTGCTGGCTGTTGTTGCCCAATATCTTGATGGCGTTTCCAATGAACATCACGTCTTCAGCGAGTTCGCTGGGAAAGTACCGCAGCGGCACGCGCGCCAAGTCCACTGCGTACTCGGACGACGAGGACGGCGATGTGATGAAGAATTCACCGTAAGGGTCGACGACATGCGCCGCCGTCATCCACGACATCATTTGACGGAAGAACACGCGATGTGCATTGCACAGATACGACTGGACGCATGCTTGGACGCGAGGGTAACCGCTTCGGTCGTGCGACTGCAGCATCTCCAGCACCCCCTTCCCTCGCAGCTTCTTTCGCTCGATGTGGTCCACAAGGCGACACAAGAACGGGAACAGCTCCAGTTCGCCCTGGAAATCCACCAAGAGCCGCGCAAATGGGAACAAGTTGCTGTCAGTCTTGGCTAGGACCTCTTGCTCCAACGACGCCACGTGCTTCGCATACACAGCGAGGGTGGCAGACAGCGACTGTCGAAACGAGTGCACGTATAAGCTAGGGTGGATAGAGCTTCCATCACGTCTGGAAGTGTCCAGTGGAGGTTGGGCAAACTTGGACAGCCGACGGAAGCAGTACCCGACGTGCAACAAGGGTAGCAGCACTTGCCGATCGCCTTCAGATAGAAGACACGGCGTGGCTAGCTCGTCAAAGGTAAACGTCGTCACATTCTCCCGCTTTGAGGCTGTTCTCTCCACGACGACTTCGCCGCATACACCCAGCAGTGCCAAGAACAGCTCGTGATGCATCTTCTTGGTGGATGGTTCCACAATCTGATGGAGTTCAAAATACTACGTACCGGTAGTACTGTACAATACTGAGTAGTAGTAGTACTAGAATGTTCGCGTAGTAGTACTAAGAGGAGTTTTAGGAAACCGGATAGGCAAGCATTCCATGTTCTACGCCGACATTACTTCGTGCTTGTATGCACCATTTTAGCCAATACATAAATTATATTTTGGTAATTCAGCTTTTTAGCCAATAAAAAAATGCTTTTCCGATGTTTTAGGCCAATAGTGCAGGTTTCTTGCAATATTAAGCAACACCGACATATTTTATCGGAGAAAAATATGGCTCCTTATGTACAAAATCAAGTCAATTTCGCAGAGCTTGCATATGATATTCCTAACAACTATGACAAAACATTCATTCTTAAAGTGCTATACTAGTACTGTATTCAGGTCTCACGTAGGACTGGCGCGAGGGCACAAGATGCTAATGGTGTTACTTGAAGCACCATAGGTTCAAGCTGAAAACCTGATGTCATCATTCTCGTCATTTAACTCGCTCAGATCATTCATTGCCTCATACCTGTCAAGAAGGGACACTTTGGCTGTTCTTGCTTTGGCCTTTTTTCGCCGAGGTTCGGTCACTTACGGATAATATCCGGTCATCCGGAATTATCCGGTGTTCTCGTTCTGTAGAAACCGGACTGTTTATGCCCAATCATAGGTCAGCTAAACAGTCCGTTAATGATCATCTTTGGTTTTGCCCTCAACCACACAAGTGTTCTTCGTCGTCGTTCCTCCCCAGTGCTACCCCTTTATCGTCCCTCTTGACAGGTTATGAGCCTCCTCCCTTCCTCTGTGCAGCCCTTCGTGGGCACCCCACTCGACGACCTACGGCCTCTGGCCTACCCTTGTGGAAGAAGGACTTCTTGTCCCAAGCGACCTCCCGCGACCTTGCTGAGTTCTACTCTACGAAGGACTTTGTCCCTCAGGGCAATCGTATCGATGCGCTCAACATCAGCAAAATGTACCTCGAGCTCGATCAAGTTGAACACTCTGAGCTCTACGTCGTCGACCCGACTATGTCGAAGACCGATCGGGATGCGCATCTCGCGGAAATCAAGGCGCACACCAACGCCATCTAACGCGAGGTCATTGCCCGTGAGGCGACCAAGAAACTGGCGAATCAACGCTCTGCGGCGCACACCTTCTTGGTCTCAGCCATCTCTACCAACCTCCGGCGCCTCTATCAGGCCACTACGTGTCCGTTCGAGCTCTTTGAGCACATCAAGAGTCGTTTCGAGTCGAACCCTATGGATAACAACCCCACGGTCATTGCCAGCTATCTACGCACTCTCAAGTTTACTGATGAGAGTTGTATCGACACTCTGTCAGTGGAACTGATTGACCTTGTGAAACCCTACCGGGTGTCTATGACGTCACCGTCGTTTAATCCTCTGGATCCATCGGCCATCTCGTCTGTCGACTATCACAACCATATTTGGAACTACTACACTCTGTGTGCGATGTCCGACACTTTTATTGGTGACAAGGAATTGTGGGAAGTCGTGACCAACTCTGTGGCCACCGCGCGCGCCTCCAACCAGTCCGTTGTCGTTACTGACGTTTGGGCCTCTCTTCGGCGTATTATTACGAACCGCCTGTAACGAGCTTCTGCTCTGGGTGGTTTCGGGGCCCTGCCGCTACCCTCCAAACGCGAACCCAGCTTGCAGCTGTCACGCATGCCGTTGCGGCTCCTGCGCCACCACCTCAAGCGATTACGCAAGCCGATGGCTCAGTTCATGTTATGAACGCCTTTACTATCCCGAGCTATGCTCACCGTGATTATATCAATCACTCAGGCAAGTCCTGCTTCTACTGCGGCGTTACCAATCACACGCTTCCTGCGTGCCCCACCCTAAAGTCTGACTATGCCCGCAACACTATGCGTCCTGGTTTTGACCGCGCCGTCTTTGACAAACATGGCTCTGCCTCCCAGAAGAAGCGCAAACGCGATTATGTCGCTCCGTCGCGTCCTACCCAACGTCCTCGTGATGACCGCGATCAGAGGAACTTGGTCCTGGAAATGGCGGGTAGAACAACAATCGTGGCAACAGCCGTGACAAAAATTGCGATCGCGACCGCAGCCGTGATCGACAACGCGACCAAGGCTACGGCCGCACTCATCGCGGAGGTCTTTATGACCAGGCTGGCTCTGCTGCTCGTACAGCCGCTCGTCCATTTATCCATCAAGGCAATCGCCTCAATGGCTTTGCCAACACCCACATCTTATCCCACCACTTTGTGCCTCCCTCCACTCTCAACCGGGTCCTCCAAGGCCCCAACCCACCATCGGTTTTGCCAAAGGTGTTCCAACCGGGCTCTGCCCCACTTTGT